GGGCAATTATTTGATTTCCAAGTCTTAACCTCATTTATTAGTGGTAGTTTATAAACTTGGTGTAGCGATTTGTGAGCTGATGTCATGCTTACAGCAGGGTGGTTTGGAAATGGTCCAAATGGGAATTCATTTTCTTTTTTTTTCCTTCCTTTTTTTTTTTGGCCATGCTGCATGGCATGCAGGATCTTAGCTCCCCAGCCTGGGATCAAACCCATGCCCCCTGAAGTGGAAGTGCAAAGTCGTAGCCACTGGACCACCAGGGAAGTCCCGGGAACTCATTTTCGATGGAGGAAGGGGGAGGCATGGAATTAAGGCAATACTTGGCTCCATCATGTGGGAAAATTGGGGGGGGGGGTTGGAAGTACAGTGTGTCTTGTCATTAAGTGGAAGACCCGCTGATCCCATGTCAGAGTGTTTGATTTTAAAGATCGATGTTCGCAGAGAGCACACACAGGATGGACATGGTTAGAAGGACAGGGATCTTGTTTAATTCACTGGCGTTTCCTCAGTGCTCAGAATAGTTCTTGGTGGATGGTGGACTCTCAAAAAATTTTTGTTGAATGAATAGTCAATACTTACACCGCATACAAGGGAGAAAGGACAAATCAATAGGTGTTCACTTGTCAACCAACCCAGGGCACTCTGGGTAATAATGTCACAGCTCAGACTTAGCCACAGAGCCTGTTGGGTCACAGCAAAATGAAACAGGATTGAGAGAGAAACAAGGAGTCAGAAGAATAAGGACAGAGGGGACAACCAAACCAGCTCTGGAAACCATCTGTGGTTCAGGGCCAGCTTGGGTTGGGTTTGGGCAAGTTGGCCCAGTCTGGAGGGGAGGGAATGACAGCGTGAGTCCCAGTGACAGGCTAGAATCAAAGTCAGGTGGATGGAGAACATTCCAGTCCTAGCAGAACCTAATCAGTGGCTGAAGATATGAGAGAAAGGATTTAGTCTTATAGGAGAGGGATCTGGAAAGAGCTAAGAAGGTGAAAGGATCCAAACACCAGCAAAATACTAGACTGCAGGACAGTGGAATGGAGATCCACCCAAACTTACTGGGCTGACCTGGCAGATGACTGGGGAAGGCTGGTATCTGGTGGGTCCACATAGATGTCCAAGGCACCTGGTTTTCTAGGTCATTTTCTAATCCTGAAGGTTCGCCAACTGAGGGGCAAGGGCTCATATTGTAGGCAGGGCTGAACCTACAGGTAAAGGGAAGCAGATCAGCCCCTCACTGTGTGCTTCCATGGTATCCTCAATATGCTTTGGAGTAACGCTCATCACACTTGCAATTCCTTCAATGACTTGTGTTTCTTCCTGTTTTTATTTTTATTATCACTGTATGCACAGCACCAATACTTGGCATGTAGTAGGTACAAAATATGAGTAAAAGAAAGAACCAGGGCCTCTCTACAGAAGAGGCTTGGGAAAGCAGAGACAGACTCTGAGACGTGGCAGACTTACATCCCGGCAGTATTTCTCACCCCCTCCACCTCCTATGTCCTTGCAATGGTCAGACTGGCATTGAGAAGAAGGAAGGAGACTAGTCATGGCCAGCCTTGCAGAGTAAAGCTCAACGAGGCAGCCCAGAATGTATATATATATCTATGTTTTGGGTTAGCCAAAAAGTTCGTTCGGGTTTTTCCGGAAGATGTAAGATGTTACAGAAAAACCCGGACGAACTTTTTGGCCAACCCAATATAACTGAGTCATTTTGCTGTACTGTAGAGACCGGCACAGCACTGTAAACCAACTATACCTCAATAAAAAAATAAAACAAAACAAAACAAACAAATGAGGCACCCTGGCCACACTGCCCCTTTTTTCCTGAGCAGCCCCAGATTTTCTGTTGCAGTAGTTACACACTTTGCTCTTTAAAGAATGTATTCTCATGCCAGCATTTTCTTCTACCTTACAGAAGAGAGCTAGTAAGACAGTATGAGTTTCAAGGAGAGGAAAGGCGAGGAGCAGAGAGAGGAAAGAGAGAAAGAAAAGGGAGAAATTGCTAAGGAGAAGCAAACTGGAAATCTCTGAGCTATTTTCCATGTTTCAAGAGACAAATAAAATCACAAAATCTCCAACTGAAAGACTGCTGAGACTAAAATATCAATTTGCTTAGCATTTGATTTAAATTATATCAACTAAGTTAATCTCTCTGGGTATATCATGCCAATTAGAAGTATCATTTGAGAATTCTATATGAAAGTGATTTGTAACAATGGAAGACAGAAACACTGTTACTTGATAAATACAAATTTGTAGACAAGGTTTTTTCAACTATAGGATGAATGGAGGAAGATGTAATTAAATACATGGGGTCCTAGAGTACTCTTATATGGTTTTGGGAAACAAGACATTCATCGATGTGCCAGACTGAAAGATATTGCTCAAGAGCCACATGTTGAATTAATAAATAAACAGATGGGCTTCCCTGGTGGTGCAGTGGTTCAGAGTCCGCCTGCCGACGCAGGGGACACGGGTTCGCGCCCCGGTCCGGGAAGATCCCACATGCCATGGAGCGGCTGGGCCCATAAGCCATGGCCGCTGAGCCTGCGCGTCCGGAGCCTGTGCTCCACAACGGGAGAGGCCACAACAGTGAGAGGCCCGCGTACCGCAAAAAAAAAAAGAAAAAAAGAAAACAAACAGATATCTAGGTTGTAGGCTTAAGAAAAAAAGAAGAAAAGAAAAGGAAGAAATTAAGATACCCTAGTACCACTTGCGCCAGGACAGGATAGGGATTGCTGATGGCCTACCTCCCAGTTACTGCCCCCATCCTGCCTACTCCTGACTTCCACTCTCCCAAAACACTGCAGCTGTAGCAAACTGCAACCTCGGGAGAGCCATCCTAGAGACAGAGGGAGCCCTGCCCACCGCATCCCAGCACAGCAGCCACCTTTGTTCTGAGCGCCTGACTTCCTGTACCATATACACTGTGGTTACTTGACCTTTTAGGGCTTTTTTTCTTTGTAGCCATGTGGTTACTTGACCTTTTAGGGCTGTGGTTACTTGACCTTTTAGGGCTCCTAAAGGTCTAAAAAGGTCAAGGGTCAAGGGTTACTTGACCTTTTAGGGCTTTTTTTCTTTGTAGCATAAGCATCTCAATCAGTGAGACAGAGCTGGAAGGTCATACACTCTACAATGCCTCTGAAACCAAAGCTAATAAATAGCTGAAAAATGGGTGAATGGTGGGAAAGAAAGACTCTGCGTGTGTCTATGTGAGATTTTAAGCTAATGGGAAGATCATTGTAAATAGAATTCCAACAGGACAAAATCCTATCCAACAGGAAATTGTAAATAGTCCTAAGAAATAGCAAAGAACATAAACTGTTTGCAGAAAAAACTGAGGGATGACATCATCACCTCTAAAAGGACTCGGTGTCTGAAAAAAAAATAAACTGACCCATGAAGCAAAGAGATAACAGGAGCATATCTGGAATGTGTGATTCTTTGACCCATATTTTCATAGAAAGTTAAAAAAAAAAAAAGGATTTCAAGCATGATTCTAAAAGGGAGGAGGGAAAAACCAAACAAACCAAGTGAACATGCAGCTTCTAATCTAGTGGAGTGACAGGTAATAAACCAATAAGCAACACAGTATATAATACAGTGGCATGTAATAATAAGCACTCTAAAGAAAATGAAGTGATGGAATGCTTTTTTACATGGGATAGTAAGGAAAGGCCTTTATGAGGAGATGGTATTTGACAAAGATCTGAATGGAGTGAGGACACAAAGAGTGTGGCTATCTAGGGAGAAGAGTATTCTAGGCAAAGGAAATAGCATATGCAAAGGTCCTGAGGCAGGCACATGCTTGGGGAGCTCCCAAGAGAGCAGAAAGGCAAGCGTGACTCAAGAGGTGTAAGTAAAAAGGGTAGGAAATGAGATCAGAGAAGTAGGCAGGGGCCGGATCATACAGAGTCTTGTAGGCATGATGAGGAGTTTGGATTTTGTTTAAGATTAGCCGTAAGCCACTGGAGAGAGTTGAACGGTGAAGTGACATTATCTGACTTATGTGTAGAAGGATTGAGAGGGTGAGAATGAAAGCACGGAGAGTTGTTGGGTGACAATCATCTAGATATGAGATGATGGTGCCTTAGCCTGGGTAGTAAGGTAAGAAGACACTGTATTTGAAGGGAGACGTTATAATAGCCTTGTTGTCAGGTTGGTCACAAGGTGTGAGAGAAAGAGGAAGCATGGAAGTATTTGTTCTGAGCAACTTGGGAGAATGGTATCACCATTCACTGAGGGGAGCGTCATTCAGGAAGGAGCCATTGGGGGAGGGGAGGTGTTGAAAAGTTTGGTCTTGACTGGTTAAGAAGAAGAGAGATATATATATATATATATATATATATATATATATATATATATATGTAATGGAATATTACTCAGTCATAAAAAAGAAAGAAATAATGCTATTTGCAACAACATGGATGGACCTAGAGATTGTCATACTAAGTGAAGTAAGTCAGACAGAGAAAGACAAATATCATGTGATATCACTTATATGTGGAATCTAAAAAGTAATACAACTGAATCTATATACAAAACAGAAACAGACTCACAGACATAGATAACAAACAAAGGTGGGGGGAGGGATAAATTAGGAGTATGGGATTAACAGATACAATTACTATACACAAAATAGATAAGCAGCAAGGATTTACTGTATAGCACAGGGAGCTACATTCAACATCTTACAATGGAAAATAATCTGAAAAAAACATATATATAACTGAATCACTTTGCTGTACACCTGAAACTAACACAATATTGTAAGTCAACTATGCTTCAATAAAAAATTTTGGTCTTGGACATGTTAATTTTGAAATACAAATTAGACATCCAAATTCAGCAGGCAGTAGCAATGAGATTTTATAGTGGAACATTAATAAAAACAGTGACTACAGCAAGTATTTCCACGACGGGTTCGAGGGCCTGTGTGGGGACAGCAGCAGGATACACTAGGAGCCACCTCGCAGGCAAGGAGAACCGAAGGTGAAATGGTGGCCAGAAGTTCAGAGGCCCTCGTGCAGTGGTGTCGGACACGGCGTCAGCCAGGTGACAGTGACAGCATTTGGGCAGGTAAGGGAAGGGGATTTCTCAATTGGGTACAAATAACTCCAGTGTCACATTTGTTTTCACCCTGTCTATAGATTCTGAGACCGAGGGTGTGAGGCAAAAATAAATCACTTAGGGCTTCCCTGGTGGCATAGTGGTCGGGAGTCCCCCTGCCGATGCAGGGGACACGGGTTCGTGCCCCGGTCCGGGAAGATCCCACATGCCGCGGAGCGGCTGGGCCCGTGAGCCGTGAGATGCCCGCGTACCGCAAAAAAAAAAAAAAATCACTTAATATTTCTAAGCCTCTTATTTTTATCTGTAAAGTAAGGAAGATAGACTAATAATACTAATAAGAACAAATAATTATTGAATATTTTTCTATATGCTGGACCCTGTACTAATTATTTTACAAGGACTGTCTCCTTTAAATGTCACAATAACCCAGAAGACAGATGTCATTTTACAGACAAGGAAACTGAGATTTAAAGAAGTCAAGGGACTCTCCCAGGGTCACATAGCTTGTAAGCAGTTAACGGACAGAGACCAGGATTGAAATCCAGTCTGACTCTAGAGCCTGCTAAACAGTTTGACACTCAGCTCTCATGCCCTCTTAACATAGGACAAAAATGCCACCTCACATAGGTGTTACATATGACAAGGCACTCCTGAGAAGCACCGGCATGTTTAATTCAGGGTGCCTAAGGTAGTAGTAGCTGGCCAGCATCAAATGGTGTGGTGGGCTGAACGGTGCCCTTCTGTCCCCACTGCCTCCTCCCCATGACCATTAGGATGTCCATGTCCTAATCTCTGGAACCTATGGCTGCTGCATTATATGGCTAAAGGGATTTTGCAGATGTGATGAGACTGGGGATCTTGAGATGGGGAGATTGTCCTGGATTATCCAAGTGGTCCTGAGGGCAATGTGAAGATGGAAGTAGAGGAAGATTGAGATTAAAAGATGCTATGCTGGCATAAAAAGAAACGAAATTGAGCTATTTGTAATGAGGTGGATGGACCTAGAGTCTGTCATACAGGGTGAAATAAGTCAGAAAGAGAAAGACAAATACCGTATGCTAACACATATATATGGAATTTAAGAAAAAAAATGTCATGAAGAACCTTGGGGTAAGACAGGAATAAAGACACAGACCTACTAGAGAATGGACTTGAGGATGTGAGGAGGGGGAAGGGTAAGCTGTGACAAAGCGAGAGAGAGGCATGGACATATATACACTACCAAACGTAAGGTAGATAGCTGGTGGGAGGCAGCCGCATGGCACAGGGAGATCAGCTCGGTGCTTTGTGACCTCCTGGAGGGGTGGGATGGGGAAGGTGGGAGGGAGGGAGATGCAAGAGGGAAGAGATATGGGAACGTATGTATATGTATGACTGATTCACTTTGTTATAAAGCAGAAACCGACACACCATTGTAAAGCAATTATACTCCAATAAAGATGTAAAAAAAAAAAACTGGTACAAAGCGACAGCAAAATAAAAAAATAAATAAATTTTTAAAAAGATACTATGCTGGGACTTCCCTGGCGATTCAGTGGTTAAGACTTTGCCTTCCAATGCAGTGGGTGCAAGTTCGATCCCTGCTTGGGGAGCTAAGATCCCACATGCCTTGCGGCCAAAAAACCAAAACACAAAACAGAAGCAATATTGTAATAAATTCAATAAAGACTTTAAAAATGGTCCACATCAAATAAATCTTTTTTAAAAAAAATAAAGATGCTATGCTGCTGGCTTTGAAGATGAAGGAAAGGTCCATGAGCCACGAAATGCAAGAAGGGACTTGCCTGATGGTCCAGTGGTAAAGGATCCGCCTTCCAATGCAGGGGACGCACGTTTGATCCCTGGTCGGGGAACTAAGATCCCACATGCCGCGGGGCAACTAAGCCTGAGCGCCACAACTACTGAGCTCGCGCACTTCAACAAGAGAGCCCGCGTGCTGCAAACTACCGGGCCCACGTGCCCTGGAGCCCACGCACCACAATTAGAGAAGAGAAAACACTGTGCACCACAACTAGAGAGAAACCCAAGTGTCGCGACGAAGAGACCACGCCACAAGGAAAGATCCCACATGCCTCAACGAAGATCCCACGTACTGCAACTAAGACCCAATGCGGGGGCTTCCCTGGTGGCGCAGTGGTTAAGAACCTGCCTGCCAATGCAGGGGACACGGGTTCGAGCCCTGGTCCGGGAAGATTCCCACATGCCGCGGAGCAACTAAGCCCGTGTGCCACAACTACTGAGCTCACGTGTTGCAACTACTGAAGCCCACACACCTAGAGCCCGTGCTCCGAAACAAGAGAAGCCACCACAATGGGAAGCCTGCTCACCGCAACTAGAGAAAGTCTGCGCGCAGCAACAAAGACCCAACGCAGCCAAAAATAAAAATAAATAAAAATTAAATAAATTTTAAAAACACAATCAATTAAAAAAAAAGACCCAAAGCAGCCAAAAAAGAATACAGCTCTAGGAGCTGGAAAAGGCAAGGAAACAGATTCTCCCCAAGAGCCTCCAGAAATGAACAGCCCTGCTGACACCTTGGCTTAGCCCACTGAAACCAATTTTGGACCTCCGGCCTCCAGAACTATGAGAGAATAGATCTGTGCTGTTTTTAAGCTGCCAAATTGGTGGTAATTTGTTACAGCAGCCATAGGAAACTGATAGAACGGGGGAGCGTGGCAGGCATGGCAGCTACTGGCGCAGGTGATGTAGAATTGGTGAGGTGGTGAAAGTCCCTGGACGTCTTCAAGGGTAGGACAGTCTGTGAGAAAATGCTAAGAAGTAGCCTCAAGCTTGGGATGGATGTAATTTCTAACCAGCTCTTAGAAGGCTGTGCTTCCAGAAATGTCAGGAACTGGTTTCCCGCCATGAAAAGGTATGTTGAATCAAAGCAAGTTGTGCACTGCCCAGACTTTCTTTAAGGTTAAGGACTGACACACCTGCACCAGGTGAGATTGGATCCCAGGCTTTGGGGCTGAGGAATGGCACCTTGGCTTGGAACCCAGGACCGTGCCTTGTACGTAAAGGGGCTCCGGTAAAATTGTCCTTTGTTTTCTCCTGGACAGTGTGGCTCAAAAACAAGAAACACATAGACATACAAATACAGTCTCTTTCTAGATTTCTAAACAAAGCCCTGGGGAAAAAATTCCTACCCAAACTTAAAGGATTAAAGAAAGTAATGACACATAGGGAGTGGTTCTGATTCTAAGGAAATTCATGTTGTTTTTCATGCATATCCAGACTCATGAGCATTCTGCCCATAGAAGGAAAAAAAGTCAGCATTAGCAAGAACAAGTTACCACTGTGCCTGATTTATCGCTGGCTCTGGGGTAACTGCAAACATATTCCGTAATAATTTCATTTTAATCAACCATTGTGTGACTAATTTAAATACCAATACACTACCTTTTGTTTGGAATTAAATTAAATTAATTATTAATTAAGTTATTTATTATTTTTGGCTACGTTGGGTCTTCGTTGCTGCGTGCGGGCTTTCTCTAGTTGCGGCGAGCAGGGGCTACTCTTCGTTGCAGTGCGCGGGCTTCTCACTGCGGTGGCTTCCTTTGCTGCGGAGCACGGGCTCTAGGCACACGGGCTCTAGCGTGCAGGCTCAGTAGTTGTGGCGCACGGGCTTAGTTGCTCCGCGGCATGTGGGATCTTCCCAGACCAGGGATCAAATCCATGTACCCTGCATTGGCAGGCGGATACTTAAACACTGCACCACCAGGGAAGTCCCTACACTGCCATTTTCAACAGGACTATCTAAATTTCCTAAAGTTGTTACCTGTAAAGGCTGCTTGCCAAACACTGGGAGTATTGCTGATTTGCTCCCAAGGAAAGCATCATTCACAGAATGACATTGTGTCATTTCAGAACTCCAAGGTTTTTAGAAAGCTTCAAGTACACTTGGTTTGAGTGACATTGAACCTAATGGGTTTTGGTACACAGTTATTAGAATTCACAAATTCAACGTCAGATACGTCATTTTGATTATTAATTTTTTCCTGATTATTAAAAACAGTGCATGTCATTGTAGAAAATTTAGGAATGCAGAAAAGTGTATAATAGGAAAATACAAATCAGCCATAACAGAACCACCTGGATACAGAACTATTAGCATCTTACTGAATTTTTTAATATATTTTATTTCAAGACAATTTTTAAACATTTATATACTAATGTGTGTGTGTGTTTTCTTTTTACAACATTCAGAACATACTGAAAAACTACACCCTGAATTTGTATTGTATCAAAAACATTCTCCCAGGTCATTAGATATTCTTGAAAAAAATCTGAGTTTACTGGTTGTATCACATGGATTTACCATACTTATTAATGATTTTACATTATTGGATTTTAGATTGTTTTTCCAAGATTCAATTATGAGTCTTGTACTTAAATATTTATGACAACTTCTAATCATTTCACTAGCTAAATTCTTAGAATTACTGGGTTAGAGGATAGTAATTTTTAAAGGTCCTGATACAGAAAGGTAATAACAGTTTATATTTCCACCAAACTTATACCCATTCTGAGTATTATCTTGTTTACATTAAAAACTAAGACTCAAGAACAAACAGAAAGACTCCAACAGTCATAAACATGCACATGTCAGATCGTAAGTGAATCTACCTTGCCTGAACAGACAATTGGAATTTCTAGCAGAGTTTCACATTTACAGGCAGTTTTTAAAAAGCAGTGTTTTCCTTCTTACTTCTTTTCTGGTGTGTGTGTGTGTGTGTGTGTGTGTGTGTGTGTGTGTGTGTTTCCAATGAGCGTCTATAACTTTTAGAATCAGGAAAACAAATCCTAAGTTAAAAACCTGAGGATACTCAATAGTTGTACAAAGACTTGTTAATTAGTACAAATATTTATGCACATCTTTCAGTAATAGAACACAATCAGAATATTTGCTTTCCTTACCTGTCAAATGGGATCCAGTGAAAGAAAGACTCTATTTTGTGTGTTTGTTATTTTTGTTTGTTTAGTTTACCAGAAGGATTTTTAACAGAAAGAAAACAATGCAACTGGAACAGTTGAAAGAGGCACTGCCTTAGACAGTGTTGCTTGAGTTTCTTTGCTCAGAATGGAAGGGAAAATGATCTTTTTCTATTCAAAATCCCAAAAGATTCCTTAACCCCTCCACCTGCCCCTACCTTTTCTACCATCTCTTTTCTCCTCTACCCATCAGACTTTTGAAAGTTGTCTACACTTACCGGAAGGCTTCGCTTCCTCAGCCTCCCCTTCAGTTCACAGTTGCAGCATAGCTCTGTCCCAACCATTCCGCTAAAACATGATTTTCAAGAGCAGTCAGTGACTTTCTACTGAGAAATCCATTGATTACATTTTGTCCTTATTTTAGTGGATCTTTCTGCTGAATGTATTGCTGGAGACTACTTTTTCCTTAAAATTCTCAACCCTTGGCTTTGGTGACACCACATTTCCCTGAGACTTCTTAAGCCCTTCTAATCCTTTCTTCTTGGCCACCTTCCTAACCACTGCCCACTCCATAGGTCTCGATATTCTCTCATTTTCCCACTAGCTCTCTTCTCTTTTTTGCTCTACGTGTCCTCCCTGGCAGACCTCACACACTCTTACAGTTGTGACAGATACCTGAATGTCAAGTCTCCCAAACCGATACCTCCCTAAAGCCTCAGACACACAAATCTGTCTGTTCAACTTATCCATTAAAATCTACCACAACAGACACTGCCAGTGAATTGACTGAAATCGGTCTTTGACTGACGTTTCCTCCTTTGTTAATCATATTGCTTTCTTTCACTTACCTTCATATTTTGATTTTCCCTTGCTCAATTTTTGATAATATGCCTGGGTGATTAGTCAGGATGATTTCTCAACATCATAAAATGATGTGGAAAAATACACATATTTGGTGTATGTGGTGTCCCAGTTTTCAGCGATACAATAATCATTTTTCATTAGGAAGATATACTTTTTCAAAGACTTGTGCAAAAACATATCAGGTTGCCTTTTGGTGCAATAAGCAGGAATTTATTAAAGTGAAATATAAAGGCATGCTTGTGCTCATGTGCCTCTGACCAACATATCTTATTCAGGTTGGGTGGGGATTGGCTGTGTTTTCTAACTCAAGGAATGGACTTCTTATGAAAGGTCATCTGTCTAATGCATCCAGCCTTGCCAACTAAAAGTGCTAGCCATCTTATTTCTGTCTCTTTGAAGCACTCCAGCATACATAGCTGTAAGAGCTGATAAGATATTCCATGCTCTAAGACTCCAGTAGGATAAAAACTCCCCTCCCTTCAGAACTGCTTTAAAAATTCTGACCTGCGAGAAAAAGAAGAAAATATCCTGGGCAATAGTAAATTCAACATCATGTAAGGTCTGAATGTTAATAATTCAATTTAATTATTTGCATATATTTAGCACATCATTTGACGACTTTCACATGCCTGCTACAGAATGCAGCATCCTTTTGCTTTAAAGCCAAGATACATTTGGATGTCTGTAGGCCTACTCTTCACTTTTAGGAGGAAGGAGATTCTTTAGAATCCGCTCTATTCATGTGTTTGTAATAAACCATCTTTCCTAGTCTTCCTTTTATAGCCTATTAACATAAATGACCCCCACCCTTCATTACTATCCCCCTTCTAGGAGACATGTAGAGTTCCTCTCTTGAGTGAAGATCTCTAAGTTGGGGATTGACATTATTATGCATTTGGCAATGTTATTCATTCAGTCAGTCAATAAATGTTTTTGAACACTTGCTATGTTTCAGGCATTGTTCTGAGAACTTCAGATATGGCCTTGAGACAAAGACATGAGGTCTGTTCTCATAGACGTTAAATTTCTGGGGGAGGGGTATGATTTCAGTCAATTAAAAAATTGAGTGAATAAGATAATTTCAGGTATTGCTATGAAGAATATATAGCCCAGTAATGTGCTAGACAGTGTGGCAGCAGGGCGGCTGCTTCAGATCTGATGCCAAGGGAAGGCTCTCTGAGCAGGGGGCCTACAAAGGTAAGCCACCCCTCACTCCCAGCCTGGTCTGACAAGGAGGGATTGAGAAAAACTAGCTGAACTTCCCTATGAAATACACTAAAAGCTTTCCCAGTGACAGTGGGGATGGGAAGTAATCTTAGGGAGATTCTTTGATGTGAACTGATTTTTTTCCTTCTCTTCCCACTTCGTCTGACTGGAGCCAGGACAGATGTCAGAGTCCTGGATTTCAGGAAGCAGGCACAGTGTATTTGTTTCCTAAGGCTGCCATCATAAATTACGACAAGCTGGAACAACGGAAATTTATTCTCTCACAGTTCTGAAGGCTAGAAGTCCAAAATCAAGTTGTTAGCAGGGCCATGTTCCCTCCAAAGACTGTAGGGAAGGACTCTTCTTTGCTTCTTCATAGATTTTGGTGGTTGCCAGCAATCCTTGGTGTTCCCCTTGGCTTGCGGAAGCATGACTTTAATCTCTGCCGCAGTTTTCACATAGCCTTCTCCCCTTTATCTCCTCTGTGTCTGTTTTTATTAAAAAATAAATATTTTTAATAAAAATTTCCCTCTTTTTATAGATACTGGTCATTGGATTTAGGAGGACCTACCCTAACCCAATAGGATGTCATCTTAAATTGATCACATCTGCAAAACCCTACTCCAAATAACGTCATATTCACAGGTTCTGGGTAGACATGAATTGGGGAGGAGGGGAGAATATTCAACCCGCAGCGGAGTCAGCTGGAACTGTCATCAGTGGGAGGAAACATACCCCAGTAACTTGATGTCATCCAGGGACTAAAGAAGGAAAACTGCGGGGACCGCCTGAGAAGCATGGTCTGTGGAGTCTTGGAACAATGTTATTTGGTATATAATTTTAACTTTGCTTCCAGTGTCATCAATCCCTTCTGTCATCCTCAAGAATTGAGTTAGGTGTGGCTGGGTCTTCGGGCCTCGGCGGGCGGGCGCCGGGGCTTCACCTCCAAGGTGGGTCCCCGGGTAGAGGCCAGAGCATCTAGGCGGGTGCTGAAGGGCGGCGGGAGGTGGTGTGGGCACCACACGTGACCCACACCCTCCGCCTTATCCCCGCCCCCGCCCCCCCCCCCCCCCCCTTCAGCCATAGTCCATTAAACAGTGAAATGCAGTAGGATGGGGAGCTATGGGGCAGGGCAGCCAGTGGGAGACAGGACAAATGCCCCAGTCTCTCTAGATCTTGGAAGTTGTCCTCACTGCCCCCCCCAGGGAAGTGGGCCAGATCCTGGAGCCGCTAGCGCTTGCGGACTGCGGCAGCCGAGAGACCGTAGCACGGCCGGAGAAAGCCATCGCGTTCGCCTGCAGGCTCTGCGCTGTGGACACGGACGGGGTGGAGCCCGTGCAGTCAGTCCTGGAGGATGGATGTCTGTGCTTAAGATCCGACAATGTGGCAGAAGGCAACTGTGCTGCGGAACTGCTACAAAACTCCCGTCGAGATGTGGAGGAGTATTTTTGTGGCCCCCCAGGTCGTATGTCTTGGCCAAAGCTAGATGAAAAAGAGCCCCTCTCACACTGCTGAAGACCTATTCTGCGAAGGGGCGCCCTACGAACACGTGGAAGGGCAACGACTATTTTGTTGTTATGAACACAAGTGTTCCCGCTCTCTTCAGTCACCTGAAAAAAGTGATGGTTAGGGATCTTTTAGTAACTAACTCTTCTGAAGACAGAATTGGGAAAGATCTAGCTAAAACAAGGCAAAGAGCCCCTGATGCCAATGGAAGTAGAAGGTATTGCCAGTTTCCAAGAAAATGGATCAAGTGTTTACTCACAGGCTGTTCAGTATGGAAGGCTTTATCTCCTCCCCAAAAGACAGTCTAGCAAATGGCACTTAAGTGAATTTTTCTACTCATGTAACTGTTAGACATTGCATCTGATCACTATGTGACAACCCGAGTTGTCCCTTTCAGTTGCTGTTTCCATCGACTTGAGCAGCCTTTTATCTTTACTGAACACACTAAATTTGTTCCTGGGTACCCACTGTATGCCAAGCAGAGGGCTGACTTTCTGCTAAGGTTAAAGGAGTAAGGAGACAGCTTTGGGAGGTGATGTGTATGTTTACGGCCTTCATGGTTGTGATTTCATGCGTGCGTACTTAACCCCAAACTCACTGACTTGTATACATTAAATAAGTACAGCTATTTACAGGTCAACTATATTTCAGTAAAATGGTTTAAAAAAAAAAAAAGAATTGAGTTAAATTTGTTAAACCGCCAAAGCCTCTTAGGAGTTGTTTCAGGAGGTGGCTCAGAGTAGTTGAGTCCATGATTAAGCAAAGTGGGTGAGGAGATCACAGCAGCCCAGAGAGGCAATTGCCACACAGCGGGTTGATCAGCAGTCTCGACCTGAGATGACAACGAAAACCAGGACTACCTGGGTGTCCTCAGAAATGTTTGGTGACAAAATCTTTAATGATGCAGGCTTCATTCACCCAGCCAACAACATTCCTCAAATATCTGCCATATGCCAAGTACCTTGTTGGTGTTGGGAAAAATGCTCAGCAACAGGAAGCTGGTCCCTGCTCTTGAGAATTTCACTGTCATCAAGGAGGGTGAGAATTTGAAAGATGGTGTTATTTGGATACAAAGGAAAATGTGACCCCAGGAAGCTGAATTGAGGACATGACTTACACTGATTATAAAGTGAGGGACAGCACAACAAATGTTTGCTGATTGCCTCCCACGTGCCAGGCACTGTGCTGGGTACCAGCATCCAGAAGCAGCATCCTCCCTGCTCCCCTTCCTTTAGTTTCTCCTTCGCTGTTACATGGAATCTTTAGACACAACAAATCTATAAGACACTGATGTCCCTATGACCTTCCCAAAATAATTCCTTTTTGTGTGCTTCATTTGGAAATAGCCCTGTAATAGTATCAAATACCAAACACTTGGTCACTCAGCATTCCAGCCTGAAAAACCCAAATCAATGTCCCTCTCCTTCATTTCGATTTAAACCCCATGGCACAGTGTCCAGAGCAAAGTAGACACTCATTCACACTTACAACTACTCTTCACCAGGCACTGACCAAATGTTAGTTCCCTTTTCCTGCCTAAATAAATATCACAGGTTTGCTTGTTGGCCACAGCAATGAGTTTAGTATAAAACAAATAAAATTCTGATGAGTGATCTCACTATAATTTAGCCAAAGAAAGAATCACTGTAGTTCAGAATTCCAGAAAAGTTACACCTTCTCAAGATCTTACGAGAACCCATCTCCAGCTTTTCTTTAATGTTGAATTTCCCTGTTAGTTCCTGTTATGTAATCCTCTTGTCTTCTCTCCCTTCTTGCCTTCTCCTCTGATGCCCCATCCAAGATAGAGGGTCACTCACTATTAAGTTTGGTCAACTACAGGCAACTTGTAATGCTTTTGTGTCTAAATTAAAGTTAGATGGGCAGTTTACATCTATCTTATAAGAGCTTCTAGAAATCAATGTCTAAGCCATCACTTGTGAACATACCTGATCTGACGTGGCTCACTTTTCTTTTACAATTATGGACACCATGACATTTTGGAGTGTGATGGAAGACCAGGGTTTCGGGGTCAGGTGTAGTTTTGAGTCCCTATTATTCCATTTGCTGCCTGAGTGAACATAGGCAAGTTCCTTAATTTTTTTCAGCTGAAAATCACAGCTATATTTTTGGACTATAGTGAGAACTAGAAACAATCTATGAAAACTGTCTGGCAAATAATAGGCACTGAATTCGTGGAAGCTATTCCTATTACTCTAGTCATGTCCAGTAATCTACATAATCTCTTGGATCTATTTATGGTGGCTTCTGACATTTCTACTTTTGCTTTTTTTACATTGGTTATGAATGTACTTGTAAAAAATAAACCTGGTGTCTTCCAGATGCAAGGGGGGAAAACCCAATGAAGATTACATTACATAAAATTGAGTGTCCTGGAATTCAAGCTGTAAGATACTAAACAGGTTACCTACCATGGACTGGTGGTGAGGTCATAGCTGAAAATAATTTGGCAGAGTTAAACCAGACTAGCACACACTTCTGAACTGGCACATAGCACAAAAGGTAGCTCTCCTATGCCCAAATAAAGAGGTTGACTCATGCCGTCTGGGTGAAACATCTGAGGAACAAAGTGATATCATCCGAGGAGGGAGGCTGACTTCATTCTGCAAATGTTTTTCGTCTGTCTGGTTTTGGGCTTGGGACTTCTGGGGCTCCTATGTCTCATGATTCCCATCGGTTGCTCTTAAACTCACCCCTCCTTGAGGGAGGCAACATCAGCTCCTGCCTATCTTTAAATTTCCTGTATGATATAAATATTTTTTCCATGTCTGGCACAGTATCTGGTTTCCACTCTGCGCATTCTGTTGAAACTGGTCTCAGAAGGGTTGCTAAAAATAGTCTAGTTGCCCCATCCAATGGATTCCTTTATGTTTCCTTCCCACTGGAACTGTGCGCTATGGTTGACACGTAGATCAACTCTTCTTCCTCGCCCCTTTCTTTGCTTCTTTATATGTCTCACGATTCTCTTGATTCTGAAGATCACGTCTTCCAAGGCCTCTTCACTTGTTTCTCTTCTATAGCTCACCCTTAGATGTTCTCCGGAGCTATCATTCCAGCCTCTTCTCTGACCACAGGCCCCCTTGGCAAGCTCCTCTCCCCTCTTCCCTGATCTCAATCACTGCTTCTGCAACAACCTTCTCCAGACCAAACCTGGACAGGTCACTGCCGCAACTGAGAAGCTTCCATTTTCACTGTTGCTTTCAGGGTAGAGTCCACACACTCTAGGAAGACTGTTGCCTCCTTTATTACCTGGATTAGCAAATCTCCTGACCTTCATCTCCCACCACGGAGCTTCTCTGCCTCGGGTCATGCTGCTTCTCTGTTTCTCTACCCGCTGCCTCCAAAAATCTTATAGATCCTCTAAGATCCCATTCAAGTGTCACTTCTACAAAGTCTTCCTTAGCAGCTTCCTCCCTGCCACCCCAGTGGAATTAGTGGCTTTCTTACCACGTAACATTTTTGCATACTACTAGTGGAGCTCTTACCACATTTTGTTACTGTCTGTTCCACACTTATTTGTCTGTTCCACACTTATTTGTCTGTTCCTGTAGATGGTGACTTCTTGAGAGCAGAGATATTACCTTCTTTGTTTTATTATTATTCACACCACCCAGCACAGTGCCTTGCAGATAATTACATTCTCAAGAAATACTTCTCCGTTTGAACTGAACCTATTTTTCAAAAATCAGTCTTGGGCTTCCCTGGTGGCGCAGTGGTTGAGAGTCCGCCTGCCGATGCAGGGGACACGGGTTCGTGTCCCGGTCCGGGAAGATCCCACATGCCGGGGAGCTGCTGGGCCCGTGAGCCATGGCCGCTGAGCCTGCACGTCCGGAGCCTGTGCTCCGCAACGGGAGAGGCCACAACAGTGAGAGGCCCGTGTACATATTAAAAAAAAAAAAAAAAAATCAGTCTTATAATCAGGTCAGTTGCTTTGCTACTTGCAACAGAAGAGACAGAGACATAAGCTCTGCCACGCACTCAATGTATGTTAGGCCATATTGGACTTTCTTGGAAAAACTCTTTTCCACACTCTCTGTATATACTTTAACTGTGGCCCAAAGAAAGGTGTGTTCCATGCTTTTTTATGCACAGCCAACTCCCAGGTCAGCTAAATTCCAATGCAGAATCATCAGAAAGAACGAACATGTCTAATCTACTCTGTGTGAATAAAGGACATCCTCCATTAAGTTGAGTAAGCCCTTCTAGAACACCAGGGTATCATTTAGTAAATTTCTTCTCCTAGGAGATTAAATAGGGCCTGGATATATGTTATAATAAATGCACATAAGCTCTAATTTTGTTCAGCAAAATAAATGGTTGCTTAAGATTAAGACTGGATCAACTCAAATGTATCATGTAGCCAATCCAGACAGAAATAAAGCTCATGATAATGGTTGTGAAGAGCAGAGTTTTTCTACTTTCATCTGCTCCATTCGGTCAAGATCTACTTCAGCAATGATCTCTGTATAGGAATATCTAATTAAGTTCTTCAGCTCAGAATTTCATAAAGGCAACAGAAAAAATCTGTGAATGACTGAATTTCTACTGCTTAATAAGGGCGCATACAATGTATATGTTTCTATAAAATAATGGATAACATGTATTAAGCAATAGCATGTATATGTAAAGCCCTGGCTGTATATCTTATATGGATTATCTCATTTCCTCACAGTAACCATATGAGGGGAACTGTTATTATCTCCATTTTAAAGATGAGGAAACTGAAGGTCAAAAGGTCAAGTAACTTCCAAGTGTTACAGAGCTAACTGCACAGTCAGCTGGGAGTCAAAAACTGAATCTGACTCCAGCGAATTTAGGGGATAGAAAGAGATTTTTTTTTTTTTTTTTTTTTTTTCGGTACGCGGGCTTTTTTTCTTGCGTTATGCGGGCCTCTCACTGTTGTGGCCTCTCCCATTTGCGGAGCACAGGCTCCGGACGCGCAGGCTCAGTGGCCATGGCTCACGGGCCCAGCCGCTCCGCGGCATGTGGGA